CAAAGACAGACACATACACATACACACACACAAACACACACATACATACAAGCACACATATGCCACACACACACACACACACACTCACACACACACACACACACACACACACACAAACACACACACAAACACACACATACAAACACTCATACAAACACTCATACAAACAAACACACACACAGACACATACACACCAACGTAGGTTGCAATCACAGAACCATTTAGTTGTTTAGTCAGAAAAAATGCTAGCAAACTGACACAAAATCAGTCGCTATACGTGCTTAGAAAAAGAGAGGCAGAAAGATAGATGAAACAGAAAAATAGTAGTACAGTAGAAGCAAAGATCGTGTATAACAAGATAGTCCATTCCTCTTTTTTTGAGCCATTTAAAAAAGTCTCCTCAAAATTCGGTGGCGCCCTCTTCGAAAAAGTGGGGACTTTGCGAACAGAGTTACCCTACTTGTGTGAAAAACAATAAAAGCGAAACTAATAAACTGTGCTATTCTTCTTCTTCTTCTTCTGGAGAAAAGAAAGAGAGCTTCAAAACAAAGACTGTAGCGCCATCTGAAGCAATGCGCGGACTTCCGCGGACACTTTTTTGGCCGAGTGAACTATCTTGTTATGAACGATCTTTGGTAGAAGTTACCACATTCACTCTATTACCACCCACACATAGAGTTGGTGCTTATCTTTCATGTAAGAATATACCATTAGAAAAAATACGCCTTAGCATCAGCATTTGAGAACAGCTAATTACACAGAGCTTCTGAATCAGAAATCTCATGAAAAACGAGTTAGAAAAATCTCAGGTGACTTCATGAGAATCTGGTCTTGCTTACCCAGGACAAATGTATAGGAACATTTCCGTAAATTCACAGAAACCCTGATGAATGTGAGAACACTCAAGCTGATCAACAAAAAAATACAAAAACAATTTATAAAAAAATCACACATCTGCTATTAACCTTTTTACAGACAGGCACCGATGTAGAAAATGATCAAGCATAATTCTGTCCCCGTGGTTTTATGCACCCCGCATAATTTAGCAAAATTTGATCATTTTTTTGCATAACTTCTTATTATTTTCCTTTATCCTTCTTTGTTAAAATTAACAAAATCGCATAATTTCATATTTTTGGGCTCAGTTTGCATAATTCCAGAATTTTTCTTGCATAAAACGACGAGGACAGATAATTAATTGTAAAGGTGTGTAAGTTTCCAACCGAAAATAATGATTCAGTACTTGACGAAACCTGGACCACTCTCAAGACAATAATGTAATATTACGAGTGTGATTCATAACATGCAGCAAAACAAGCGTGATCTGGCAACAAATTATTTTAAAACGTGAAAATTTTTGTCTTGAAAGCCTGCGGTATCAATAGACAGTACATAGAAACAGTCGAAACCAATCACATAATAATATTAGTATATTATATTAATAAGTGGCCTTATTTTCCCAGTCGAACTTGAAAAAAAAGTTTCGTCTTTAATAAACTATTCAAATCAAAGTAAGTCTGTGGCGTCGGTGGCCTTGTGGTTTGGCTACCGGACTCGTAATCGTGAGGTTGCGGGGTCGGGGGTTCGAACCGCGGGCCCGACGTTGTGTCCTTGGGAAAGGCACTTTACACGAATTTTCCTCACTTCACCCAGGTGGAAATGGGTACCCGGCCAGAGACAGCGAAAGATCTTGTCAGTATGTTATTAGTGTTTTAAGGCCTATAAATGACCGCTTGCACTGTATGCTTCACAGGAAGTTGAGCTTGTTTCAGAATGCTCTCAGGTCTGCTGGGGTAATAGTATAGATTGTGAAGCGCATAGAGCCTGCTGTTGAGCGGGGATTTGCGCTGCACAAATGCTATCTATTATTTTTTTTTCAATGTAAGTCCTAAAAGAATTCTTGCACCAGCTGCCTGTTGAAGATTTTGCTTTTATAGAAAAACCTAAAAAAGAAAGTGAAAGCATTCTATATCTTTCATGGAGCTCTTTATGTTTTTGGTCTTCACCAGGGAAGTGCAGCTAAAGGGCAATTAATAGAAAAACCAAAGAAAACATTAAGGCAAGAATGTTTTACAATTTCTGTTGCGGGACATTGAGAGACCAACAGGCTGTCGTATTTTTAAATACTTTTACTTTGACCGTCATTGTATGAACTTCTGGTAGCATAATTTTTTTTGGGAAATTAAGTTTCCAGCCACTCTTTCATAAACTTTTTGCAAAGACTACATTAATTAATAATCATACTTTAATTTAAGCAACGTTTTAGCACTCCTGCAGCCCTGTACATACCGCCAAAAGAAATCAACAGCTGGGTGGTCACCCCATTACAGAAACAAAAACAACCCCCCGTTACCCCCCCCCCCAAAAAAAAAAAACCCACACAAAAACAACAACAACAAAACAAAAACCCCCAAAACAAAACAAAACAAACAAAGCAAAAACAAATATAAACAACAACGACCACAAAAAACAAAGTAATTAAAAAACATTCTGTGACATCCTTTGACGACATCTTGTAGCTTGTGCAGTACAAGAAAACTGTCACTGCGTGTGAAAGTAATCTGCTATATAACTGCCTTTAAAAAAATCTTTTTGGACAGGAAAACGAGAACAGCACTGATGATTGTAATTGTAACAAAAGCTGTTTTTACACTCCCATCAACACAGATAGGATCATGCTATAGGCGGCGGGCTGCTTCCATCCTGCCAGTCAGCGGGACATCCCGGGTCGAGGGGAATACAACATCATCCCAGCTGACTGACATAGATATGGTTGCTTTTAAGGACAAGCGGGCTAACCCAGAATTCGGGGGTTTCCCGAAATCTTGACCTACTCCAAAAGTGAGCATTGCCTTGCCCACAGAAGTTTGGTTTCAATGGTGTGTATACACATGTACTTGTTTAGTTAAAGAGAAAACTCTTCTTGTCTTTTAAAGAAACTGAACTAGGGTTCAAAAACTTTACCTTCGATTTTCTAAAAACAGTATTTTTCGAGATAGCCCCCTTGTGCTTAAAAGCGACCATATTTGTGAAGTGTGCTGACAAAATGAGTTACTTCTCGGATTCAAGCTTTATGGAAATAGAAACATCAAGCTTATTAGTGAAGTTTTGCAATTTATAAGTATGAAATAATAAGAGGCATGTTATACTAAAAAAAATAGAGCATCAATAGAAGATCTACTAATTTGACCTCGCTGTTGATTTTTTGCCAATATCTCCATTTGTGGATTGCGAGAAGTAACTAATTTTGTCAGCACGCCACAAATATTATTCTATCAAACAATTTCCCCACTCGAGAATCGAATGCGTCTCTTCTGTGTGTGACGGCAAAGGGATTGGCTATTATTGCTTGACCGTTATGACTTCACAGACGCTCAAACTAAACTTGAGGAGTCCACTGAAAAAAAATCCGGGCATACTCACGAACTGTAAATTGTGAGGGCGTCAATTTTAAAAGCTTGTGGATTCATAGCTTTATATATTTTTTTGGTTGGGGATTTGTTTTATATGTTTGGTGGATGGGAAATCTAACAACAATAATCAACCAACGGCTGAACAGAAATACAGTAGTTATGAGTCAACACCTTTTCAAAATTTATACCCTCCGGACTTTCAGTTTATGACCACGCCAGTTTTTTTACATTGGACTCCTCACTTGCTGTCTGGCTCAGATGTCAGTGTAGTCCAAATGCGTGGAGTTATACTGCAGAGGTCCATCCGGGTACCCGGAATCCCGCGACAGAATCTCGTCCGCGAATCTGGTCACCCCTTCCTGCACTTCCTCGTTCAACCCCGGGATAGAAGTGGTTCCCGTCGTGTAGGACGCCGAGGGGGACCGGTAGTGACCGTTGCCCACCGCCGGCTTGCCCATCACCTCGGTCTCGTCGCCTTCCTCCGCGTCGAAAGCCGAGTTGTCGTAAGCCTTCATGAGCTGGTCGAGTTTGGTGTTGTGGTTGGCGTTGTGGATCTTACTGGGAGTGGGTTGCGGGGAGTCTGAGATCTGCAGAACCATTTCTTGTTCCTCGTCTGGTGGCAGGGGCTCTCCGCTCTTCTCAGTGTCCTGCACGGCATTGACGTCGAGGGAATTTTGACTGGGAGAAGCGAAAAGAGAGAAACGAAATGTTTGTCTAAGGAGGTGAAAAGAGAGAAACGAAATGTTTGTCTAGGGAAGCGAAAAGAGAGAAACGAAATGTTTGTCAAGGGAGGTGAAAAGAGAGAAACGAAATGTTTGAATAGGGAATTTTGCCACGAGTTTTGATTGGGAGAGGTTAAAAAAGAGAAAAGAAATGTTTTTCAATGGAGTTTTGACTGTGGAGAGGCGAAAAGAGAGGAAAGAAATTATGTTTACAGTTTTGATTTGAGTAAGTCTTCTGAAGTCTTAGTTTACTAAAAGTTTTACGGCACTGCAAAACAAATAGGAAATAATGTAATATAAGTGCTGAAGATTAGATGTGTTATTAGAGAGTAATATACGAATAAAAGAAGGCGGAGAGATAAGAATGATATATGTTTGATAGGAAAGGAGCAAACCGCACGAGGGCACGTACTGATCAGCCACAAGAAATGTTTGCAAGTTCATGTGGGGAGAAAACAACAAGAAACTGAAGCAGTATGAAATAAAAATAAAAGAATAGAACGGGCCAGGCATAGGCAAACTGCGGTCCTCTGGCCACACCCAGGAGTTTCAGGGCGACTGTGAGGCCACCCAGTAATTAACCCTATCCGTACGCCCTGGGGTCATTTTGTACCCCGGGGTTGTATTGTATAATTTTGACAGACTGCTATGCAAAGCGTACAGATCGGATTAACGAGTAAATTCCTCTTTGGAAGTAGTGGAATAGAGTTCCCCACGTCGTATGGATACGATAGTACACACGGTGTACGGATAGGGTTAATAAATACTGAACGTAGCTTGCGATGAAATAATAATCCATCCAATAAAGTACCTTTGAGTGACATTAATATCGTGCTACAGAATCAGATTTAGCCTTTAAAAAAAAAGAGCTTGGGTATTTCAACCAATTTTAACCAACGTTCTCCTGCGTTGGCCCATGAGATAATCAGACTCTCTTAATATCTTGGTGCGTCAAGGTTGGAGAAGGTCACCAGCATAGAGTTATCTCCTTTTTAAACTGGTGCTTAGAAGTGTAGTTTTATGGTCGCCAGGGAAGGCAGGCCTGGCATTTGCTGCTTTCCGCCTTATGTACGTGATGATTTAGGGAGAGAGAGAGAGAGAGAGAGAGAGAGAGAGAGAGAGAGAGAGAGAGAGAG